ACACACACACACACACAAACACACAAGCACACACACTGTGGTCTTTCTAAAGTTGTGAGGACACTCACATTTTGTTGCTCCTTAACACCCTAACACTAACACCAATTCTTAAACTTCAAGCAGTCAAATAAAGTTGTGTGGACCAATCTAAACATCCTCACAATGCTGAAATGTCCCCACAAGAGTTATTTGGAACAAAACGTTGTCGTCACATCCATAGAAAAAGACATACTGCTTCTCTAGCCTCAGTCTAACCCACCTCCCAACCTCGACACACATTTGCCTTCCAGCTGCAGCTTCCCTTCCCGCCCTCTACATAGCGTGTGCACACACTATTGTCAGTGTAGGTGAAAAATTATGTAGCGTATACTGAAATACAACTTGCAGGAGTAAAAACATCTGGATGGCAGTATTGATGAAACAATTTAGGTTAATCAACAGGGCTATCCATCAGTATAATAAGATGCAGATCTGAGGGGAAGAGCTTGGAAAACAGGAAAACTTCTCTCCAAATGTTCACTTATTTGAAACTGTTTTCTACCACATTGGGTAAGCTCATACAGATTGTCATGTTGGCATAATTTACGTTAACTGGGTCAGATATAAGTGAATAAGTGGTTATAACAGGTGGTTTTCTTACCACTGTCCATTCCAGCACTTTCCACTGTCCGCAAGCCACTGCTGAGCAAACTTCTCTGGCAGGGGGCTTTGGTAGGTGGGCGCAAGCCGACTCCTCTGCCACACCGCCCTGGTTGTCACGGCAGCTCACATAGCGCATCCGTGTACCTTTACCGCAGCTGGCAGTACACTGGTGTGCAGATAAGAAACATTAAGAGGCTGGAAACCAACAAACTGTGCAAACTGATTGTGAATATGACAGGACAACCAACCTGAGTCCAGGAACCAAACCGCCACTGGGTTTTGTGGGTCTGATGGGAGGGGACTTTGGTCCCTGGGGGAACAGGGTGGCTGCTGGGACACTGAGCCAGTTCACAGTCCTGTTGAAGGAAGGACACATACACCCGTTTATGCAACGATTAACAAAGTGAATATACTGTAACAACATCTGTCCCTGGCCACAAAATACCATGAATATCAGAGATAGCTCCTCTGACATGGGACAGTCATTAACAACTTAAACTATATTCCTTCAGCTCTACATTAGAGAGCAGTTGTGTTTCCCATCAACCTTTTCCCCCCACCTTACCAAAACAACATTAACAGGGTCCGCCCCGTCAGTTCAAACTATGGATTGTGGCAGTAAGCCACTCAGCATAAAGCCCTGATCCCTGTCATAACAGGTCACAGTGGAGTGGTATTCAGGGCTCCAATGCCCATGCTGGCGTGGTTGCAAACTCCACCCCTAATCCACCCCCTTGTCCCTCACCTTCCGCCCTTTCCTCTTTTTCTCCTCATGCCCTCTGGTGCCCTCTGACCCCCAGTCTCTAGGAATGAGTGCCTTAATCAGGTCACACAGGATCTGAGCAGGCTCCACATTCCTCACTCGGCCACCTAATAGCAACAAATAGGCCTTGTGGTGGTGTGCAAAGTAGCTCCACACACTTCATGTTAGTCACATCTTAAATGTCAATTCTAAATGAACTAATAACATATGACAGATTCTCTGATGATTCTGTGACTTTGTGTGTAATGGTGGGTACTGCGGCTTTAATGTTGTAGATGTACAAATACTACAGGCTCCAGCAGTGTTCAGAAATGCCCAGCCTTCCTTCAAACTAGTGAGGAAAGCACTGAGCAAAGCATCTGTTGCCTCCACCTCTCTACTCCTTGTGCTCTGAAAGACTTCCATCTGCCTATCTCTCCATGGTTTTCTGAGCCTTGCCTGGTGGCTGTCTGCAGTGGGACAGGCGGCCTGTTGGCCCACTTCATGGCTGGCTGGTTAGAATCACAACAAGGTGGGGCGACTGCTTCAGGGTCACTGGTTCTGTCGGCCCAGGCACCGGAATTAAGAGCCGCTTCAACTAGAGGGGGGCCTCATCCTGGGTCTGCATGCTCAGCCCTCTAAAATGGGTTTACGCCCAACACTGATCAAAAAAAATCATTCAGCTCAAAATAGTGTCCTTTGGTTTTTCTGTGTCTATGTGTTTGTGAGAACAGATGCACAGATTACACACATGAACATCACATTTCTCAGTCTGCATGGAGGAGGAGGAGACGGTGTCAAATGTTTAAAACTGCAGCATGACTATTCAACTAAGCCGCTCTGTACATTGGTAATTTTCTAAAGGATGCTTTGAAATTAGGGTATGGACAAGATTCAAACTAAAACTAAATACTTTTAAGACAAACATGACTTCTGACAAACTTTAAGTGTGTCCTACATAAAAGGTATTAAGAGGAATAACTCTATAAGGTCGTCTTGCTGCGTTTGAGCTGAGAGGTCTTCAGTTGTATGTTCCTTTGTGAGGATGGTGAGGCCTGTACAACCTTCCCCTCTTTTTCTCTCTCCACCAGACATCAGACAGCATAGCTTTATTGAGTCCAGGTGGACGTGAAGTGTGTGTGCTTGTCTGTGTCTGTTTTAAGCGTCAGTGTGTGTTAATATGGATGCTATCTTCTCTCCTCACAGTATAATTCACTTTGTCACTCGACCTTGAAATAATTGTTGCTGCCATGTTGAGATTAAGAGACCGTGGGAAGCTAAGAGAAGTAAAACAAAGATGTTAGAGAGAGGGAGAAAGGATGCAAATAAGGAAGAGAATGCCCTCCTTACCTGGGTGTCTGTGGGTCGGGTGGCAGCGTTACATTCAGTATCGTCCATGACAGCACCATAAGAGCCGACCACACACTTCACAGCTCTCATTTGGTAGCCTGGCCCACACGAGGTAGTGCACTGGGTTCAAAGAGGGAAAAAAGGAGTGGAGGGGAAACAGTGAGCATAAGACAAAAAGAAAATGTAAGAAAAGAAGAAAACAACAAAGCAACCGCCAAACACAAACAAATCAAAAATTGCACACCAGGGTAGGCGAGTAAAGAAAGGGTAATTTTACTCCTCCACTTCCATGACAAACATTCTTAAGTTTCAGGCAGATACAAAAAAAGAAAAATTAAAAGTCAACTTCACGAGGAACCGTAGCTCATATACATCACATTGTCCTTTTTCCGTTGTAGCCGAGTCAGAGGGTACTACCCCGCGTTCTCTTCTGCCTCATTGCCTCCAGTGAAACAAGGTCAAACTTGTGTGGCGGCGACTTCAACTACCATTTGAACACGCTTCATTAAACAACTTCAAATATACCTTAACATGTGCACATCCTCTGATGGGGGGGGGGCACAGATATGTCTCACATTTTTGGGTGTTCGGTTCTCTGTGCGCAAACACAACTGAGGCTTAGCATGCACACACACACACACACACAGACACAGACACATGCATGTATGCATTAACCTATACAAAGCTTTGTACAAGAGCACGCCTACCCTTAAAATCCATAGCTTTTGAATATTACATTTTCACGTGTGTGCTCAAACAAAAAGGAGGAGCTTGGCTTAATGTCATCTATCCACCAGCTCTACCACTGCATCAGCACTAACCCCACAAATTCCCTTACTGGACAGCATTGCACAAAGGGCACACTAGTGTCTGCTGTTTACAAGAAGGTGACTCACCTGTCCCCAGGGTCCAACCTGCCAAGAGGCGCACTCCTGCTGCTGGCACGTCTGCACTGACTCAGGTTTAGACAAGCCACAGAAGCGATCATCAAGACGATCCTCACCAAACTGACACCACGTCTGACGGTGCTTGTAGCCTTTCCCGCATGTCACAAGGCACTGATAGATAAATATTTCAGGTTTCAAAATGAGTTAACAGTTTATGACATGGTCACAGTTATCAGGCCAAAGCAGGGAGTGATTTGATATTTTTTGAGTATATTGCTCACAGTGTGCATACAGCAAAGTGTAGGTGTCTGTATTTAGCTGCACCACATGGGAGATGTGAAAAATTTCTGGAATGCAGCCCAAAGCTCCTTGCTCTACAGTGTGTAATCTGTGCAACAGTTTGTACAATCTTACCCTGCAATCACCAATTTCCCAACACTCACTGTACAGAAGGAGGGGAACAACTTTGCCAAAGCCGAGATATGCACAATCAACACTGGGATTTTACATTTGACCCAGATCATTGCTGGCTTAAAACTACAGTATTTACACTAGGGTCTGTTTCTCTTTAAACAAAGTTAAACCAGCTACATAAACACCAGTGTGAGGAAGATAACTTGCAGATAAATATATAGGCATAAGATTTGTCAAACTATAATGTTATATAGGAAGATTTAATGTAAACATTCAATGTATGTGCTGAACATATCCACTCCCTTTATTGAGATCACTGTACATGAGCAGCAGTTGTCAGACTTTCTCAACAAGACCTGTACTGACCTCAGACCAGTCACCAGTCTTCCATTGTGGACAGAGGAATTCATTGCAGGGTTGGACGGTCAGCTTGTCCCTTTGACTGCATTTACTCTCATCACCACCGGCCTCAGCTGCCTTTCGACACACTGCCCCTCGACGGCGGGTGCCCCCACCACAGCTCTTGGAGCACTGCGGCACATGTTTCAATGTCAGCAAGTATAAGCATATACACAACCTATGATCAACTCAAATCCCCGTCAATCTTACCTCTGACCAAGGCGAGTACTCCCAGCCACCCGGGTTACAGTCCCCGTGGCAACCTTCCTTGTCGTCAGGTTTGCGCAGACCACTACAGTAGCGGTCATCAACTTTCTGGGTCTTTCCATCTGTACGGCTGATTTTGGCACAGTATATTTCCAGGGTACGATATCCAACACCGCACTGAGCTGTGCACTCACTCTTACGGGCCACGTGCCACCTGTGTCAAAGGTGATAGGATACATTTTTTAAATCTCCACATGAAGAAGGACTCATTGAGTGGTTCATATGAGCAGTGAAGGTTGATAACATTAGTAATACAAACCTGAGTTCACATTCAGTATTGCAGGGCTCAGTGATGATGGCAGGTCTGGCTGTACCGTGACACCTCTGGTCAGACACCACCACCCTGTCTGACTCTCTGCTACAGAGAATCTTCCTCTTCCGCTCTCCTAAGAGACACAATGATGCATGTTTGAACAGATAATAAATATAAAAAGTCAACGTCACTCTTAAATACTTAAATACTCTTGAATAAAGAGCTGAATTATTTTCCATTATAAGTTGTTCTTTGGTAAGACACTTACAGGGAGTACATAGAAATCTATGACGACCGCTGCAATCTGTGGTTTCATAATGTAATCCTTAAATAAAACTCCACTACCTTCCACGGCGTGACTCAAGCTTAAGAAAGATCCTGCAAGTAGTTATCTGATGCAACAGCTTGCTCAAGCACAATATAGATACCAGCAGCTACGGGTATGTGTGCTTCACCTTGGCTCGTGTCGACAAGCCTGCACTAAATCACAATGCACCTTCTGTACAGTAGGTTAGAGAGAGATTTAAACATCATGTGGCCCCAAGAAATAGATTCGCTATCGGTACCTCTTGTTACTAAGTTTTGCAGCTCAGTGCTGTGAGAGCTTAGTGTGTCCCAGGCTGGCAGAAAAGCCAAATAAATCAGAGAATCAAAAGTGCTGAGGGAATTACATAGTTTGCTGTTTATCCTGCTGTGTGAACTCGTTGGTTTCTCTTTGGAATTTACTGTTGGTTGTTCATGCAGGGCTGTGTCAAAAGGTGGATGAAGAGATTCTCAAATAAAGTGCTTGAGTCATAACACATGGCAGGTTTTCGAGTTTACCTGCAATCCGCCTCTGCACACCCACACACCCCGACATATCCACAATCATGCCAAAGACGGCAATCTGCCACAGCATACTATGAAGTTGAGCTTTAATCACTTGTTCCAAACCTATAGGTCTAGCATGGGCTTGTCAAGTTTAGCCAGACAATCTACTCTCCCCTATGCCTCTGGCTCAGCAGTTCCCATGTCTCCTCATCCCTGCACTCACCACTCCATTTATCATTGGCTACGCCCATCACCTCACCCTGCCAACCCCTTGTGTCTCCCCCTCACCTTGGCACAGGCGGCTGCACTCCTGCCAGGGCCCATAGGCATCCCAGAAGAACTGCTGAGGTTTGTCCTCTATAGGGATGTTGAAGGAGTACCTGACATCTGGGTTGTAGAGATTCCCCACAGACAGCACCTACGGAAAAATTCAAACATTCTGGTAGGTTTTATAATACAGTCAGATTATGGGTATTAATGGGGAACAGACTCTCCACAACTTCAAAAGTAAAAGTAAAGCCTGCAGAAAGTCTCACACTTTAAGTTTCACTGCTGCTACGGCCTCTAAACTCCTCTCGCTTTGAATTTTTCAATCTGTAATGCTAAGCTATCATGACAGTTTACCTGGACAATGATCTCCTCTTCAATACGTTCAGTGCAGTTGATCCTCTCAATGACATGGTCAGAGCCACTGTATTCGATGACGGCATTTCCCACTTTAATTTCCCTTTTGAACATGCTGACCACAAACTCTCCATTAAGCAGGAATTCTCCACGGCTAGTTGATATAGCTGCAAGGAGTCAGACAGAAACAGTCACATACTGTGGTTGGTCCCACTGACCCAGAGGATCACAATGAGCCTTATTAAACTATTGTTGCCTAATTGGTACAATACAACAAAAAACAAGAAAATATGAAGTATTGATAACTGATGACACTAACTAGCACATATAACAAGACTTACACTCAGTTCCCTTATTAAACCACCTTTAATTTGACTGGATCCAGATTTTTGATTGGATCTGCACTGGATAGCACTTTCCCCAAGTTTCGTAGTAATCTGTCCAAGATTTTTTTGCATAATTCTGCTAACTAACAAACAAATGCTGTTGAAAATATAATCTCCGTGGCAGCGCTTTCTTTGGCATGTGACAGGGCAGCTGAGCATCACTTTGGCTAAAATTTTCATATGGCACGTGCAGAAGCACCATTAAAGCCTTATTGGGGTAAAATAATCCTCTGTTCCTGGAGACGTCCCATCCAGGGGTATCCTGTTCTGTTTAACAGCCAGTCTGCTGCACTCATTCACCCTAATGCGATTATGAAGCTAATTTCCTGCCTTAACTTTCCTCGCCATTTCACACATTACACTAATATGTTGTGGAAATTGGCCCTCATTCCGGTAAAATTGTCCCCACTTTGGGCCCCTAATGACTGTGTCCATACACAAATAAATACACAAAAAATAAATGATGAAAACTGAAAGGTCATATTCAGAAGTGACATATAATTAATTATACAGGCGAACAGACAAATAACAAGACATTTTGACACACATGTTGGCCTTGATGGAATGATACCCAGAGGGCTGTCTGAGCTATTAGCTTGTTCATGGCAACAAGACATGTACACAAATAGCTGACAAATCAGACAGGTAAACTGTATTATACAGAAACTCACATATAAAGACACACAACTGCTGTATACAGACACATTAAAGCTTATAAACTTACTGACCTGGCTGGAATGGTACCCACAGGTCTAACTAAGGCTAACTCCTCTGATGTTACACTAAAATCTGAACACTGTCTTGCACAAAGACAAGCATGCAGAGATCAAACATGCAGCTCAAAAGCAGAAATACTAATTTCTTTAAAACTAAATGTTGAACATCTTACCGAGGTAGTTGTCATCATCTGGTTTCCCTGAGTAGCTGTGTTGACGCACATCTATATTTGTAGCACCACTGGGTATTCGCACTACTTCATTATAGCCTGCAAAGTAGTTGGTTTAAATCATTAATATGCCAAGCTCTGTGCCTTGCTAACAAGAGAGCTCCACTGCCAGTGTTTATTCTGATGACTAAGCACAGATAAATTATGTGTTGCAGCAATGTAACATTTGCTGAGGGTAAATTGAGAGTGTAACAAAGGGAGGGACTGTGGCTCACCATAGCGGACAATGTTGAAGGTGCCTGCCACAGTTTTGCAGGATGAGTTGTCACCTCCACACACACCACATTTGTCCCTCCTGGCTTTAGAGTTCAATACATGGTCACAGCCCGCTTGCTGCTCGGTAAAGAGGTAAAAGGCAGGTGGAAGTGGAAGACAAGTTTGAAAAGAAAAAGAGAGAATAATAGTGAGAAGATTTTTTTAAATGTAGATAAAATGATATGTAGTCTCCAAAAACAAAGAAGCCGGACTGATCATCAAAAACACTGGTGCTCCAGTTTCAAGGGAAAAGTAAATGCTGCAACATTAATATGTCACATATTCCATTTGGCATTAACTTATTCATTTCTTGATGAAATACTGATTATTAAGACAGAGTCAAACCCACTGACCCTTGAAATAATTGCAAAAGAACTTATTGAGTTACACCCATCTGAAATAAATTTCCCTCAAAAAAAGAATAAATAAATAAGCCACACACACAATAGAAATGGTATAAGCTTGTAATTGGCTGTAGCAAGAGACATTCTTTATTTTCTATCAATAATGAAGAACTTAGCTTGAGTGCAACAGCACAGATCTAAATGCACATGCCAAGACCAGAGGGGCAATGTTCTGAACCACAATCTAACCAAAACACTGTGTGTGGTTCAGAGTGTACAAAGAGCAGCCCACTGCTTGTTTCAAGGAACATACTGATGATGATGAACGATATGTTAGTAATCAAGCTTTCAAACTAAAAATCTTTCTGTTCACAGGGGTAAGGGGACATAAACACATTCTGGTTAGGCAAAGGATTGAACTGCTTATTGAAAATGTTTGCTCTAAGGATGTAGAGATATTTACGTCTACGCTTAGAGTCACCATGCAGGAGTGGTCATCAACAGGAACTATATTTTTGATTCCAAAAGTAGCTGTACATATGAATTTGAACCATGCAGTCGATTATTGTGAAGTTAAAAAGTGTTAGGTAGCTCACCCTGCACAGGCCCTGGACACAGATGTCGTTGGTATCAGGTCCACACGGCGTGCCATCAATAACCCGGTCCCTGAGCTGATAGTATGCCGTGCTGCCTGCCACCCTGCAGAACAGCTTACACCTGTCCTTCATCAAGACTGAAAGAGAAAAAGACAGACAAATACTTAGTACCAACAGATATCAATGCATAGCTTATATTTTATCTACTGATCAAGGAGGCTTTGCTGGTGACCCACTTCCGCTGTACTTGGGCACCCAGCGAACGTTTGGAGGTAGACCGTTGATGTTGAAGTGCCTGCCGTCAAAGGCAGCACATTGCTCCTCCCTAAAGTCCTTCTTCTGCTTTGAGCAGGGCTCAGAGTTGCAGGAACGAAACTTCATCCGGCGACCAACACAATACATTCCTCCATTCCTGGGCCTGGGAGTGAAATCAAAGAAGTTTAGTGGCTTAAGTAAATGTCTTAAAGCACCCTTTATTATGCTTTTTGGGTTTTGCCTTTCCTTATTTGTGTCCTTTAGCTTCTTTGTGCATCTAAATAGTTCACTAAGTTACAGAGGCCAAACTCTGCAGCCGTCTCTCCAACAAAATGCCTTTTTTACATTCCTGGATTTTTTTCTTTTAAGTGTCTATGTCACCAAGTTACATGTAAAGGCTTCCTCATGCTCATGATGGATAAGTATACATAACAGGATAAAGCCTTCTGTCCGTTCTCTGCATTCATTTTGTCCGTATTTGTGCATGTACTCTGAAAGCTTACTATTGCCCACTATTACGGAGGAAACAAAAGAAACAGCAGTACCAGTGGAATTTGTCAGGGGGCAGTGTAGTCAATAGTTAAAGTGAAACAACCATACACACAAGGAAGAGTTTTCAAGAATAGCAGAACTTATTGAGGAGAGACTTGAGTGAGTTGATAAGAAACTACAGGCATCTATATGATCTTACTTTACACACAGATAACTACATTATCACAACCACCAATGCTCTGTTTGTTGTTGTCAGAAACTCTCGACTCTGCACTGGCCTCTAGTGGATATATTTCTTAGCAACCATAGCAACGTAAAAGTTGTGGGCAGTGACGGCTACATCGTTTTAATAGGACATATCTTTTTTGGTATGTAAAATCAGCCTGCCTACCAGGTAGCTTGGCTCAAATTGTTCGGAGACATCCTGATAGATCTGTCTCGATGAACACGAGCTATGGAAAGAATTTCCTCAAGGTAGATTGATCTATGGAACACTGACTTTGGCAGCTAAAATGGAGACAAGGTCTAGTGGGCATGCATAATTACAAAGAGAGGGACTGCTCACACAGGTCGGTTGCATTCGCGCACAGCGATCTTGATGCCCCCGCCGCATGTCCGTGAACAGGTACCGAAAGGGCTCCAAACTCCCCACGCCCCCTCCACAGGTGTGGCATCGTGCTCTTTGGCTATACACAGGCCATGCTTGCAGTGCTGCAATGAGAGAGTTAAGGAAAAAAGAGTGAAGTAGAAGAATGAAAAGTATGGGAGCAGAGGGAGAGTTGGAGGTGAAGTGAAAGAAAAAAAGAAGACAGAAAATGAAAAAAAGGCACAGAACAGACAGAGTTAACGCATGAAATCTTATCCATAAAACTGGCAACACATCTATCTGATCTCCCGTGCTTTGATGCTAATCTGGGAGAAATTATAAAGTGAGGCAAATGGAAAAAGGAGTAACCGAAAAAGACATTTCATGGCTGTCTGGCTGGACAGAGGACAGGAAAAAGTCACACTCGAGATCAATAAATAAATCTCAGCTCATAACAGGAGGATAATCTTACACTGTTAAACAAACAGACCCCAGATTAAGTGTTTTTCGTGTGGTGCACTTAGGCTTAGCATGGGACGAGACTTTGGTGTAAACACGAAAAGGCTTCAACATGTGTGTGTAACTTTATTGCTTTCAAGTCCTCACAGTCTTAGTGGCAGGAAACAAGGGGTTTGTGAGAAAATTCTAATTAAAAGCTCCACTAAGGCTGTCACCTCGAAAGTGACTATCATGTACAACTTCACGCCATCAAGTGCAATTTCTTAACTTTAAATGTGTCAGTGGTAAATGTTTGGAAACTATTTTGCCATGTTTGAATTTAAACACTTTTTAGCAATTTTTAATTTTAAGTCACTGCAAAAGCTGAGAGATCAAAACAAGTAACTGTATTAAGGATAATCAGCTCACATTACAGAACCATGTGAGTATGACACTATAGTGTAATGGATAAAATGTGGCATTCCCGTGGAGTGTTAAAACATTTCACAACTTTGTTCCCTTTAGACATTTATCCCAAACTTGTTCTCAAATAAAGCTCAATTCTATCCCTTCTGTTTTGCATCAGGAAGTCTGTCTTTAGTTCCACATGACATTCACCTTTCCGGGGGAGCAATCTGTGCCATCTGCCCAAGGCATGTGTTGGGTCCTGCATCCCTGCTGGGCACCCTCTGGGCTGGTGCACCACAACCTCCGACACTGAGTCTAATGAACACACACACACACACACACACACACACACACACACACACACACACACACACATAAATGTAAATGTTTAATAATAACAGTGTAGACAACTCCATTGACATATATACTCAAATTGGCAGAAATCCAATGGATCCTTCATTATCCAACATTTTACCAGAAGGTGATACCATAGACTGAATTTGCTGTATGAGCTTTTTGCCAAATGTCTCTCAGCCAGTCGATTGCGCGACCTTTCAGTCTGTGTGTGGATTCATGTGCCAAGAAAACTTTCTCAGTGCCAGGTGTCAAATGTAATTTGGAGATATTTCTGCACCATCCCTTTAAAATTCAAGATAAACATACAATAGCTTGGTGGTTTGATGTAATGATTCAAGCTTGATTCAATCTTTCTTGAACAGAATTTATAATATCTTGTCTTACATATTAAATTATTCTTGTTTATTAGAATCTCAGAAAGAACTATTAGTATGTTGTTAAACACAGCGATTGACTTGAAAGGCTTCACATTGAACTAAAGACGTCCGCAGCAAATGATCATAACACAACAGGCTTCCCTCACAGATCCAGATGTGCAACATGACAGTTTAGCTTCAGGACACTGGCTCCACTTACCATATAAGGGCACACCTGCGTCCCCGGCCCAAATATCAATTCGCACTGTTTATTGACATTGTATATCCGTCCAGGCAGCTGCTGCGAGAGACTGTACGGCCTAGAAACAGGCTCGTCAAGCAAGCATTCCCCATATCCTGTGCTATTAAGAAATAAAAATAAAATGACTTAAAGAAAAAAAGAGAAAAACAAGAGACACAGACAGAAAGAACACTCAGTAGAGCTGGAGAGGTCATTTTCCTGTACATATCTAGAACCCGTACTGTACACTGTGTATACATTCAGTCCACTACACAAATCAAGCACAACAATAATACTGGTGGCTGGTTTTACTGCTGGGGCTGATCGGTGAACATTTCAGCAGTAGTATCACTTTTTTTCCTTCAGAAGTCGTTCTCTGGTTTTTCTCAATGGATTGAGGAGTCTTTAGATGAGAGGAGACAAGAGGCTGCAACAGCCCCGAGAAATTATTACTCAGTTTATTTGTGTTTCTGGCTATGGCTCCTAAAAGTGGAAATACTGCATACAGTACACACTCTGTGAGAATGTCTGTGCGTTTCTGCAAATACACTTGATGTGATAATGTGATATTTCTACAACAGTTTCTAAATACAGCATCTTTAAAAAGATATTTGGCATAAGGTCATGTCAATTTGATCCAGAACAAGAGTTATTAGTTGATTTCTCCATTACAGTAGAAAAACTTTATCTACATGATCTACAGCCCATGCAAGTTTGGAACAATACTGAGGAAAAGACTGTGACATACTCGAGGAACTCTGTGATGTACTTCCTGCTACACTTGGACCACATCCAAGGGTTTGTATTGTAGTTCAGCGTGGGCGCCATCACGTGTTGCTGAATCTTAACCCCATCCTCCTTGCACTTGTTACTGTCGTCATGAGGCATGTTGAACCTGGAGGGGCGAACAGTATAACAAGCTCAGATATTTATGCAAATTGTTACATTAAAGATTCAGTGTGTAAGTTTTAGATCAATTTATTGGTAGAAATTAAATATAAAATAATCCTAGTAATGATTTCACAAGTGTGTAATCATCATAACTTTTACCCTAGAATGGTCACTTTATATTTATAATACTTACATCGGAAATGGGTCCTCTCTACGGAGGTCACCATGTTTTTTACAGTCGTCTAAACTGGTCAAACTAAACAATTTCTGAGTTTTTATGACAACTGAAGGCTACCACAGGTTCTTTCATGTTTGGAAAGGGAGGGAGAGGTGAGGGGTATTCAGCTGCTACATGCAACTTCACCACTAGATGTCACTAAATTCTACACACTGAACCTTTAAGAGAGAAGCCTAAGGGTTTAATAGATGCTTTTCTTTACTTTTCTTCACAATAATTCTGCTGGTTGTGGTTTACACAGTACAAATGCACAAGTCTGCACAGTTTGGCTGAGATAAATGTAACAGTGGTATTACAGTGATGAATGCCTATATAGTTTCTGGCTGGATTATGATATATCAAAAAATCTCCAAATGACAATTGTACTGTTTTTAACTTAATGCATTTGATTTGCTTGGCCATTGTTGTAAATTAGAGCTGACCGATTGAGTGATAAAAATCAGCCGATGTGAGCCTTTCTGTTTTCCAGTATAATGAAAACTTTTCTTTTACTGAATAAACAATATATAAAAAGAAGTGCATTGCGTTTTTCTTAATTCAAGCATTTATATACTTGAAATTCATATTTCCACTATATTAAATTATATACACAGTGCACAATAGATATAGCGGAGAAAGATACTTAAAAATCAGAACACAGTGAGAATAAGGGGAGCGTTCAGCCTCCTGCAGGGTGAACAAATTTGATTCCGGCTGGTGGTGCACAGGTACAGCACCACACTGCCCACAGCCCTCCCTTTGACCGCTCAGCTCCCCACCTGACAGGTACCACATAACACTGGACTCTGAGAATAAGCAGTCTTCAAGCATTATGTCATCACTTGATGTGGATAAACATGGATTTCAAGAGTCCTACATTTTGTTTAGTGGTTAAAAAGAGCATTTGTTAGACACGATGAGGACTGTTAAAGCCTGTAACAGTCGCCACTATCGCAGGCTAAACCCCTCAGCTCTGGTTGGACTCACGGCTTTGTATAATGCAGTTATGCTGAAGGTCAGTGGTCAGCAATCACAGGTTTTACTTATGTTCTGAGAATTGAATTATAGACTCTTTTGTCGTTCCCTCTCAAAATGAAAGGCAGGCTAGACATCTTAGCGAGAGATGTGATAAAATACAAACAAAAGCATAAGAAATGATTGAGAAAAGAGGGAGGAATGTACGTAAGTTGTCTGTGCAAGCTTCTCTGATCTCCATCTGCTGGTGAGGCATTTGTGGATTCTTAGAAAGCTCTATGCATGTCTCACTGCAGCCAAAACTTTCACTTGGGAGGGGTGATGACAGTACTTGAGGTAAATAGTGTGTGGAGACATGCTGTACTTACACGTGGCCAAGTTCATGGGCGATGGTGAACGCAGTGCTGAGTCCGTTGTCCTCGCTGATGCTGCAGCTCCTGTATGGATCACACACTGTGCCCAACTCGGCAAGTCCTAAGCAAACAGGATCAGTATAGGTTTATTCATTCACACCAGCATTATCATCATCCATACATTAAGTTAAGATCAGTTTGTGGTTATTTCTTAAAGAAAAATCCTCTTACCTAAGGTGTCACACTTGTCCCTTGCTCTGCAGATGTCCTGCCTGAGGCAAAGACATGGATAGAGATGTGATGGTCGTGTTCAATGGCAATATACAAAAGAAAACATCACCAACCCTCAGGGTATTCTCCACATTTAGGTAGATTTTTAAACTGTAGGTTAATTCATCAGGCATCTGATGAGCTGAGCACTTGATACAATCATAATTGATATACTTGTCAAAGTGTTAATGGTTTCACAGGATGGATTATAAAAGACCTGAAAACCCGTTCTAAACATATGCTATCATTAAAGTTTTCAGGGAAAACATTTCTTGATATTGTTCTTGCACCTGGTGATGAGGATGGCTGTGTCGTGATGGGAATGGTGGTTGTCATCCAGGATGTTCTGACTCTGCTGCCAAATGCAGAAGTTCTTTAAAGTGGTCTGTGCATTAAATGAAATGACTGGACCCTCCTGAGAAACACACAAAGAAAAGTAATGACAGGTGCCATTCAACTGTGTGCATCATGGTAAGTATGGAGATTAAAGCAATGGTTGTGTTCTTACCGGCTCATTGTTTATTATGACTAATTTTACAATCACAATGTTAATCAGGTTGCCAATGCTGGGGTCCTTGTAGATGGAAGACACCTGAAAGTAGGAAAACAACACCTCTTAAACCTCTTAATGAACATATTTTGAAGATAAGTCATGATGTTATTATTTAGATCATGTTAACCCAACTGAAATGTAACAGTGTATTTTTTTCTGACTCTTTCATTGACATCATTGCCGTAGTTTAAAGCAGGAGCCGGAGCAAATTTGGTTGATTAGAGGATCAAGTTGATAATGGCCTAAGCCCCTGTGGAGAGGCCAGCCTTTGCCAAGAAGAGAATATAGGTCATTTGAGCCTCCCTCTGAAGATTGCCGGCCTCAAACGCCTGCAGAAGCTGGTATTTGAAGTGGCCGCGAGTATGCGGTCTATGTGACATACCTGAGCTTATTTTTTAACATTCATCAAGCTGTCAGACAGACTCTCCCTCGAGCTGCCCTCTCTTCCCCTTGGCCGTTTGAAAGTGATGTTTACCCCTGCCCTAGGCTGCCCTTTCCCTCCAGTGGCCTAACTCCACAGGCTGCCGAACTAACTCTAACACTAACAGCAAAGCAGGACAGGTACGTACATTTAGAACACCAATGTGTCACATAGACAGGTACTCTCTGTTCATGTGCAAGAACACACACACTTGGAAGCCCAATTTAATCTCCCAGCCAACCACCTCCACCAGCTAAACCATCTTTTCTAGCATCAATTAAACAATTCAAGAGAGCAGGACTTACTATGGACATTAATGTGAGCATGTAGTGCTGCAAGTTGCTGCCATGATGCTCCACCATTTTGCTGTCAGCCACCAGCATTACTTCAACAAAGCGCGGGTAGGAGAGGAAGCGTTTTGATCTCCTGTGAGGTCCTGAGTCACCGCTGCTATCATTTGATGGTCTAGCGCTGGCACTGCTGCTGCTCTCTGATCTGAGTAAAGCATCGCCGATCAGGCTGGAAGTCAACGACTCCACATCACCGAATATACCGCCGCTGACCACTGGGGCTGCTTCGGACACAGTGTTCACCTCAGCCGCTGGCCTTCGCTTCAGCTTGTGCCTCTTTTGTCTGTGTTTGTGTCCTGGAGAGAGGAGCCAGAGGGAGTAAAGGCATGTATAAATATACAAAGATGCAGGGTTGAGGGGGAAATACATTCACTCACAAAAATGGACAAGGTATAAATCAATGTTTGTCATGAGGGTGTGTTTACAATAAAACTAAAGTTGTGGTTTATGCCTTCAAATGTAGAGATGCATGAGGTGAGTTGGCTGTTTGGAAGTGGGTATTGTTAATATATGTTCTTGCCTCTTTCCCTCCTTTGTTTATTGTTGCTGAAAGAGTGGGTTGACAAATGAACAAGGCCTGGAGTTCCTTTTTTTCTCTCTCTCCCCCTTGCAGAAGAGGGAAGAGAGAAGGGGGCAAAGAGTTCAGGCTAGGTAAACCTGGCACCAAGCCATAAAAAAATGGAGCACACATACCAAAAGAAGGCAGTGCAACAACCGGGCAGCGAAACTTCTCAACACAGAAGTGATTTAAGTCTGATTTTAATCAAAACATGGCAACAGAACTGCTGAATGCCAGTCTTTTTTTTCTTTTACTTGATTTATAAGCACATGCAGATCCCCTCTCTGGACCACCAGCAAAGCATCCGTGTTTTCTCAGTTTTGATTATTTAACAGTTTCATGCTGGCATCACTTTGCTATTGTACAATTTACACTGCACGTTTATGGCAGTGGGTCTACCCAACTTTCTTATCACAGAGGAAGTATAAGAGTCAACAGGAAGTTCAGCCAGTAAACTGAGATGGGATGATACAAGGGTGAACTTCCAAATGATTTTTCCTGTGTGAGAGTTGGAAAGCTTCCTCACTGCAGAGCGGCAGTTGTAGGCACTGGGCTGTGCAAGCTACCATACGATATTTGAGCTGAGATGGTTTGACCACAATCTTTCACTTTTCAAACATTTCTGCTCATGGGAAAAAATTCCACATTACATTATTGGTGCATTGTGGTATTCAAATCAACTACAATTATCCCTGAGAAGATTTATGCATTGTTACTACTCCGCATTTTCTACGATGTTACAATAAATATTCAAGCTCTGCAAAGACACTTTTTATTCGTTGTCTTGTCCACACACACAGAGAGGTTTTGCTAGCTTTAACCAGATAAGCTACTAAATGATTCTACATTGCCCTGGTACAATTACTTTAATAGCTCAATAAGCTCAGCTACTATTACATAATGTGTTCCTGTTGAAACTGATAGTGGAGACTTCGGGGTGATGCAACGATTACGCCTGCTTATGTCTGTGGGAACTAATTTAAAGGTCACCAAACGCATGCATATAAAAACAAATAAAGAACAAATTCTCCACTCATGCTCCACGTGTAACATGAAAACTGCAAGGTCTATTTTGAGGAGCAGTAGTGTGCTAGTTAGGTTGAAAGAGTGATGACTGGAGCAGAAATGTATGTCCACTGATTGGGTGAATTGTGAACTAACACTTGCTGCACATCAAGCACTTGTGTGTTAATAGAGTAGAAACTGTAGAGTGTGAATTGCATGCATGCATACCCATCATGTAACGTCGTACCTGAAATGTCACAAGCTGAGTTCTCCCCAGATGTCTGTTTTTTGGGTACACTCTTCTTGTAAACAATATGAGGTTTTGTGTGTTCCTCTTCATAGTGTTCTCCTTGATAGCTGTGTAGGGGCTCCACAAAATACTCCCCTTCTGGAGACCTGAAAGTGCCAAGCTGGATAGCAGGAAGAAAAAAAAACGCACTGCACTTAGTCTTCATCCATCCAATCTGTTTTCTTTAAATGCTTATTCTTGTTTAGAACTCAACATAAGCAAACATAGAGAGAACTGACAGGAATATACAGCTCAGATATCTTTTTAAAAAATCAGTGAGCCGCCATGCCACACCAACAAGCATGTATTTTTTACTACAGTGGAATGTGGCTCATTTACGACTCATTAGAGTAAAGAAAACAACAATGCTTGGAGCCGAGGGCTTTTGTGAAAAGGTGAAATAAGCGAATTTGCATGCACATAAGAATGGTCCCAAATCAGGAGGAAATGGATAACAGTAAGAACTGTGATGCCTATCAGGTAAAACAATGAGACTGCATGTTCTTGGCAAGGTGAAAGTCTTATTACATGTATTTTACATGGCCTGTGTAGTGTGAATGGCTGATATGGAGGTCTATGATGTGCTAGATAAGGTATATGCCAAGCCAAGCACATGTGGCTTGTTGCTCATCAGCTGTGGAGAATTGTTGTGGCAGCTCTGGGGGGGCTGATGCAAGTTTGGCACAATTATCTGTAACACACTTCATATTTACAATCCTTGATAACACAGCATGACTAAAGTTATCATCAGAGAAACATCATGTTTGGCTACATACACAAAGATTTGCAGCAGCAGGGTGGTCTGTTATTCAGCAACAGGGCACAAGATGAAGCTGCAGCTACTTACATCCACTTGAGCAAGACACTATTTCTGTCATCGGATAATGAAAGGACTCTGAATTAACTTGGGAGTAAAGAAAACTGTCCCTGCAACAAGAAAGTGAATGTCATATTATCTTAAGTTGTACAGATATACAATGCAACTGAGGCCGGCCGCATTACTGCCTGTTTGTTGAAAATGTGCCTATAAATTTCATCTCGACTCCCCTGCAGCAAGGACTTTAAAGCATTTTAATCGGATTTTTCATTTGATAAGACATTGACCCTTTTCTCCTAACCGTCACTGCACTGTGGTTTGCACCAGAGTGCAAACTCACAGTGCACTTTTTCAGCTCCAAAACTAAAGCTTCTTTACTCCAGGGAGAGGGACCAAACTCGTAATGACGTCAGTGCCACCCATGCTTGCGCTGTGCTCACTACGTAAAGACGTAACTGACTGTGAGAGAGAGGCATGGGAGCAAGATGTAGACTGTTCATTAAACTTGACTGTAAGCAATGGATCCTTGCAAATCTGCACAGCTATTTAGAGAGTTGTCTCAAGTCTTGAAGTCTTTGGTAGTCTCAGGATCCTAACACAAATTCAGACCTCAATAAGTCATGAAGTCTCTGGTATTTTCCTTATTTGTTTTAAAATATGCTTGACTTAATTATATATTGAATATATTATGTCTACAATATGAATATATCCGGTTCATTAGGGTTGCAAATCTCTAGATAAGCCTGTTTAAATGGTGAAGTCATTTGTAACATTTGCACGATCAGTGAAAAAACAGGTGTCGCACAAGTTTGTGAAAGTTGAGAATAAGCCAATGGAAAGGCAGCTTTTTAAGCCTTGTTTAAGCAGTAATGGCTTCCTAACAACCCACGGTGGAAAAGTAAAACACCGCTCGTAAAGTCATCACATGCACGGCTGCTCTAACCGTGCGTAAAAACTCACCAGTCCGGAGCACAAGCTGATGACCGCGGCGTGCTCTGCTTGTGCATTGACATGTCCTTTATAGAAGCAGTGCCTTAACTCCGTGTTCTCCTCCTCCTCCACCTCCCCATCTGTTGCAAAATCCGTTATGTTGTCCCCTCGGGGTACTCCGAGTATTGTCACAGTGTAGAAAGGTGCAATAAATCCCGAGTCCAGCGTGAGGTTGAGGTGATAGCTCTGTCCGAAAGCAGATATCCTGTAGTGGATGTTTGGCGAGGCCCAGTGATCCGTGCTGTTGCCGGTGCTCTCGTCCAGACTTCGTCTTTTTCTCTTGAAGTGCACGCTGGTTGGAAACTTGTCACCGGCTTCATTCACTCGCAGCGGTGTTACAATCTCATAGGCGCCCACCTCCTCTTTTACTGGGGAATAAAGACAGAATAACGGGGTTAAGATGCAGTTATGTAGCAATTAAAGAGCATTAGTTCAGATGTGATGGTCAAAAGATTAGGATTAAGTCATCTGTCGCTTTTTTCCTGTAAAGCAGTGTCCACAGCATTGCAAGGAAATGATAGTCAGTGAACTTTATGTGTCCAGAAAGCTGCGAGTCATGTGCTGGGCTGAGTTCAAAACTCATTCATTCTGCGTCTGTTAGAAAATGAACTCCATGAGGGAGGGGGGGGGGGTGCGGAGGCTGTCAGAACGACATACTTTACCTGTACTTGAATTCAAAAGTAATCTCCCCGTAGATGCGACTACATTCAAAAAATCAGGGAATAGTAGCAACCCCAAGCCCCAGAAGAGCACATGCATGATTGTCCACGTTCAGAGAGGAGTGCGGCAGCCTGCAGTCCTGTAGTAATACTGTATTCCTCAGGTCACTCCGGGCTTTCCGCCTCCGGTCCGCCTGCCTCATCCAACGCTATTATCCCCGGCTCTTGAGTAGATGGTCTCTGGGCGGTGGTGAAGTGCACTGCTGGGACATGAGCGCTCCGCGGAGTCCCTGCATGCTGCTGCTCAAACAGTCAACTGCGATACAGCTCCGCCGTGCACCAGCTCTCTCCACAACTAGGGGCGGGATCACCCAGACAAGGTAGACTGGTGCTACAGTGAAGCCACTCCCGGTATATACTGTAGTGACACGGGTGGTCGCTCACATATGTCCACAGTGGATGATGTGATATGATCTGTGCCTGGCTTCACCTCACTCTGTGCCTCCAAAAGACCATAAAGAGTTCCAGAGAACTGATTTTATGAGGTGCATACATACATGTGGCATTCTTGACGATACTTTCCGCAGCTTGAGGTTCAGCTTCAGAGGGTTGTGCACTTCAGTGTGACCATGACAGTGAGGTGGGGACCATATAGGAAATGCCTGCTCTGGGGCCACAAGCAAGATAATCTGGGCAAGGCTGTGTACTTAGAAGTTCATGGGATCACAGAGGGACAAAATGCAAACTGGCATGCAGCACAGCCGTATACAGTGGTGATCTGAGGTCTTAAGTAGGTGCTGTATAATGTATTGTGTGGGATCATGGTAATGGTTATATGAGCTATAGTCTCCTCAGCAGGACAATGCTACAGGCTGTATGGAGGCCTTTGTAGGTGCCTCAGTTATGTGGAGGATCAAAGAGCGGGCTATCCAGTCTGCCTCGTGCTCCATACATGTGAACCCCCCAAACACACACACACACACACACACACACACACACACACACACACACACACACACATGAACACACATCTCACTCTGTTAACTTTTTGTAATATATTCCAAATAGTCCCAACCAGTAGACTAATAAATCTCCTCATATTAACTCACCACACCACATATGACAGGATTAGTGATAAGTAGAGAGTGCAACACAAGCACCTGCCAGGTTGGAGCTGTTTAAAAAAAAAAGAAAACTGCCATTACATAGTCTGTCGACTAGAGAACTGTCAAGATCATATTTTAACAGAAAAATGTCCAGCTAAGTACGCATTGTAGAAATAGTTCTTAAACAAATAAATTAATATATACAATTATGAGATCTTGTTATGTGTTGCATGATAAATAATATAACAATATTATCGACCCTTTGGTATTGATATCAGTATAGCCTATCAAAAGTGCTATAATACTGCAAATTTACCCAAAATGGGACTACTAACGGATTTTCTTTGCTCTAATACAGGTCTGTGACACACTGCCAGGGGGTCTGTGAAAAGTTCCCGGATTCATCCATTAAAATGATCATATCTGTGTTTTCTGTGTTGACATGGTGAAAATACATGGGATATTTGTCTTGTAAAGGATCCTGGCTGAGAAACAAATTGAGAATCTCTGCTCTATGAATTGCCTCCAGTGGGATTAATAAAGTTGTTTGAACTGGATTTAAACTATAGTAACAGGGCACACATTTTGGAAATATGAATTAGAACTAGAAAGTCAGGCCTTTCCTCCAAAGAATTGTTATAGCAATCAGGTGTGACTATAGGTTTTTCTTATTTCTGTCTGTCAGTCAGTTCCTCTCAGTTTTTAAACTCAACACAAAGATTTGTATCTATCAGTATTTTTAACATGATATTTCATTCATCTTGTCAACTTAATAGAAGACTCCACTTCTGCTGTTGCATTAAACACATAATGGCACTTCAATCATAGCACTTGAAAAAAATTTCACTAGCAGTTACAATCCTCAGATGAGGGCTTGACAATTGTTTCTATATTTCGTTTTACCCCATCGACGGTGATGTGGTTTCTCTCTTGTGACAAATGTACTTATTGTAAGTCGCTTTGGACAAAAGCGTCTGCTAAATGCCCTAAATGTAAATGTAAATGTAAATAATATCCACATCCACCATGGCAGCTAAACATTCAGCATAAACCAATCAAACTCACTTAGTTAAACTTAGTTAACTGGATCATTTTGAACAGGCTTACTTACAAAGTAGACAGACAACAGAGATAAGCAGGGGATTTAGCTTAGTAACTCTTTCCTACATTATTGATGGTTAGCTTAGCCCTGCTAAATAAACATCATGTCTACTTTAAACACATCTTATTTAAATAAGAAAATACTGACTCACCAGAGAGTACGTAGTTTTCCAAGGTATTTATAGGAAGGAAGAAAGAAGATGTAAAGCAGGTGTAAAGTTAAAACCCACATGATTTACTCTGAAAGTGCAGAGTTGAGGTTTTCATGATGAGAATCAACTGTTGTTAAATCAAAGATGGCTGTGGATGGTTTTTATTCTCAGTGACTGACTAAAGTGCTCTACAGGAGTATTGTGGCCAGTGCTGCCACTTGTGGCCGGAAGCTATACTACAACACTTGATGCCCCTACATACATTAGACAGCAAGTAACCACACCAGTGTTGGCTGATAGCAAAGTTTTAACTGATATAAAAGCATGGGACACACACTGACAGAACTATTACATATACACGTATAATGGTCTAGAATTCAATTATAGATTATTATATTACTTGCGCCTACTTGCTCCTACAGCATTGACATTAATAACAACCCCACACATCAAACCGCAAAATATATATATATATATGTATATATATATATATACATATATATATATTGTTTGTCTCTTACAATCAAAGTAACAGTGGCATTATCAGTATAACCTATTGTTATTGTTATTGTCTTATTAAGATTGTCAAGTAATATTTTTGTCATATTTAATCAATAAAATTCACCTGTGCTTGAAAGTTAAAACTTTTGTCAACACATTTTAAGAGATTTTAGAGTCATGTACTTCTGTTCTTTAAAACACCAGTAAACAAACACTTGAATATACAATCTGCTCAAGCAAAACTGAAGACAGTGGTGAACAGATAAATAACTTTAGATGAATATTGTACTATAGCTGGATCAATCCGATTGACCTAAACAGACATACTTTGTTTCAGTATAACCATGCAAGGCAGCAGGTAGCTAGGAAGTTATGAAAAACAAATACACAGCAAATGATTCAAATCTAAACAGTGCATATTGGCATGACCTGCAATAAGTGGAACAGTATGAACAAATTGATACAATGCAAACACACTAATGTCATGTCAACATTGTGAGTGTTAGCTTAAAGATTGGACCTGTTCTCAAACTCAGTGTGAGAAATGTAGAAAACATTGAGGCAGTCTTCTGGTTAATGCTGGTACTAGCCATAGCATTTTTTGATAGGTGAGAGGACACAACATTTAGTTCCATGATAAATTATATATGTTTATCATATTTATTTTTAAACAAATGATAAGTTGCTATAAGGATGTATTATAAGACAATAAAAATGAAAGAAAACTACCTAGCATGTGTGTCAGTGATTCCTGAAGGAACTACAGGAATTAAAGGACATTTTTGAAAATATTACAGAGCAAAACCAGCCCAGAAACTTGTGTTGCCTCTGTCATTATGCTCATTACATGTGCAGGCCTGAGGTTCTGAGTCATAATCATTTTTCAGTGGAAACATGATTTCAATAAATTTCACACCAACTCTATATAATCACAACTTTTTGCTGTTCACACAACCTCATCATTTTCTAAACAACCATGGGCCACCCTGCATTTTGCAGTGGTTAGCACTTATTTTCCACTATGATGGAAGTAATTAGTTATGCTCTCGGGGGTCACTGAAACAAGAGCATTTGAGAGCTCTGGCTGCAATGAAGTACTCAGGGATCCCCACACACTCACTATGTAAAACTCCCATATCTGCTAACCTTTGCACAGGAGCTGGTTTTCTTCCTCTGCTCCTTTTTGTTTGGTTATTTGGAAACTCTTCCTCCGGGTAGAACCTAAAACATCAACAAAAAGCCCCTTTAAACACAACCCTTCATTCATAAATGGTCCCTTTTCCCAGAACTCCCCATAAAACCTTTTTTCACAGCAAAGGGATCACATGTGAGTAAAAACAGCAGGGAAGAAATTGCCCCTCAGCTGTGTTTTGATGTGCAGCAACTACAATTTTAAGTAAACCATTTTACTCTTTAATGTGTTGTCATAGTTGCTGTACAGTTGTTACAGGCACCCCTCATTTCCAACTAAGAATAACTAGTTCAGGTTTCTCAATGAATGGCCATTTGACTCCACGCAGTCGGTGCTGACATGTGGCAATGAAAGGCGACTTCTCCACCTTTAAACTGCAGTGTGTGGCTACGTTTGTCAGTAGACTGACCTTTTTCACTCTTTCTCAATGGAGCAGTCACTCCAGCTGTGGGTGTGCGTCCGTGTGTGTTCTCATTGGATGGTCATTGAGGTCATCAGAGTCACCCTTCCTGAGTTGTGCGCAGGCAGCGTCGTTCCGAGCGGCTATCAGTTGAGTAAACTTCACTTCCCCTCCAGATCAGATCAGAGGCCGATATGGGAGCGGAAAGCTTGAATGAATCAGCCAAAGCCTGGGATTTCAAAGAGATACACTTTAATTATGGAGCTTTCAAAAATCTTGCAATGACAGGGAAATTACATTCATTTCAGTGTGGAAAAAAAAATAGATAACCCAAACAATAGATGCATTTGAATGAAACAGAGACAAAAATGAGGGCATGGTTAAAAAAAACTGAGAGAAAATAATTACAATTAACACACAATGTTGCCTACACTGTAATCTCTATCAACGTTTATTAGCATCTATAAACATTCTGCATGTGAACAATCTGTGGGCAAGGGACAAGATTTGGGGGCTGGTAGTCTTTTGGATTCTGGTGTGACCTGTCACATTTAAGCTTTGGTTGCCTTTATTCATAAGCAAATAGGTAGCAGAGATTATCCAAGATAGCACCTACAAAAAGTATCACTGTTTGTGTTTTATGTGAAGAAACATTTGATTCATGTAATTAAAGAAACTACAGTCAGACTGTAAACAGTGTATGGAAAATGTTCTTTAAGTCTTAAAATATTGGCCGTTGCCCTCAGAGGCTTACTTGTCATCATATGATAGCTGATGGGCTGCAGGACTATCTACACTGTAACCTTTGCCACGTGTTTTGTCTTTGATTAAGTTGTTTTCACA